ATTAATATGTCGGGTTGTAATACATTTATTTATTTTCTTCTCAGAGTGTACAAGAATGCGTAGTTTGTTAGAATTTCTAAAAATCTCCTGGGGGAGAATCCCCCCAGACCCCCCTTCTGGGGATGGGTTTTCAGCATGTGGGCCTTTTTATACAGTTCAGCTTTGATTCCATCAACTCATAAACCTTTTTTTAAAGCATACTTTAGTTCTGTGAAGGGATATAAGGGATATATGCACTGTACTTCACTTTGATTAATTGTATGCTGAAAAGAGTATATATTACAGCACGATTTTTTGTTGAATAGATTTGAGTGCTTAAAAATGTTGGGTCGCGATTTATTGACCAAGTAAAAAGTGGGTCCCGAGGCCTGACCAGTTGAGAACCACTGGCCTAGATCATAATTCGACATGATCTTTTTCTTGTATTCTCTCATTTGATCAATTCTCCTCCACCACAGGATGGAAAGAAGGGAGCGAAGAAGCAGACGGAGAGAGAGAAGAAGAAGAAGATCCTGGCAGACAGGAGGAAGCCTCTCTCCATCGACCATCTCAACGACGAGAAAGTCAAGTAAGAATGCTGTGTTTTTATTTTAAGTTATTATCCATACTTTTATAGGCTAAGAGTTGTACAGTTTTGACGTTGGCTTTTAGTTTTCCGTTACTGAATGTTTGTATTGTTTGGTCTAAAGGGAGAAGGCCAATGAGATGTGGCAGTGGCTGTTCACTCTGGAGTCAGAGAAGTTTGACCTGAGCGAGAAACTGAAGAAACAGAAATATGACGTAAGTACTTTGCCTCAGGTTGTTCAACAATGTTTATGTGAAGTGAAATCTGGTTAGGAAAATTATTCAATATTTTTAAAGGACTATTAATACAATTCACAAAAGTTAGTGTTTTTGCTTATAAATAGGCAGATTTAAATTAAATCAATCTACCTTAAAAGTTACCATCTACCCAAAAAATATACTCACTGCTCAAACTGATTTATGTACTATGTGAAAGTAGAGCATGCGGATAAAATGCTAATGACAAACATTGCAAATGAATAGGAAAAGCCTTCAGCCCTGGAAAAGCCTCAGAATAGTATGGTATGTATCGCTGCTCTTCAGTGCAGGGCTGTCCTGAGGGCATCTATCTAAAATGAATGTGGCTTGACTTCCAGATCAATGTATTCCAGACCAGAATCACTGAGCAGCAGAAGTTGTGAGTAACTGATAATGAGTAGTGTGAGCCTCTCGGTTGTGTGTAGTCTTGCTGCCCGTGTGTTGAAGGGCCACACACCAAGCATCGGACAGGGGAGAACAACTCAGTCACAAAGAAGGTGAAACTAAAAGTCTGTGTTGACGATGAACCGCAACGTGGTTGTTGAGTACCGTGGGAGAAGTCAGATATTCGTTACTTACAGACAGGCAGTTTAAAAATGATCAGCTGATCTGGGCCGACTAGAGGTGAGTCAGTGGAACTTCTCTCGCCCAGCTGAGCTCTCCTTCAGGGTCTCAGGGTCCGCTCTTTGGCTCAGCTGGTGCCGAATGTTTCTGCTGTCGCTCCTTTTGCTGAGCCAGTCCTCCATGTTTGCCCCCCCCCCCAACAGGTCAATCTGCTCCAGCATCGCGTCCAGGACAGTCAGAGGTAAGTAGAAGACGCCATACTCTCAGCTCATACCAGTGCTGAGAGTATCTCTACTGATAGAGTAGTTGTTTTGTCTTAATTTAAAGAGCCTTGGGTAATGTTGAGATTTATAATGTGTTTCATAATCTCTTGCAAACCAAGGCCTTTTAACCTCGCATCATCCTACTTGATGTTAAGTGGGAACATGTGACGCAGTTTTCTCACATTTTCTATGGCTGTTAACAAGTACCATTTAAATTGTGAGTTTTACTTGTTTTATGCTGTATGCCATAACAAGTCATAGAAATATTAGAGTGTGTTAGAAAAGGAAAACATTCCTACCAAAGCATGTTAAAAAAAGAAGCAACAGTATATCGAAATAAGTCATGGTCTCCCCTGGAAAAGAACAAGTAGAAATCAATCTTTCATAAGGTTTACCATACTGTATTGGATTCTTAACCGGCTTCATCTGAACTCTTTTAAACGGATTTGATTAACATTATCAAACGCTCCGTTATGCATGTCAATGTTTTTAGGCAGAAGAAAAACATTAGTTGTGATTCAGGTAAAAAAAAAGTCGACTTCCTGCTTCCAAGGCTAATATCTGGTAGGTTAAAGGTGGTTTGGGAAGTTACACAATATAATAACAAAGGTAAGTGCTGTTGAGTGAAACTAGTGTTCTGCCCTTTTCTAATGGCATGATGCTTTCCTGTCTGTCCTCCCCTCGTTATGTTTCAGTTTCAGAACCAGTGTGTATTTAGAGGGTTACGTTGGCTGAAGCGAAATTGAATATCGTAATACAATGTTTACATTTGTACTTTAACTTACATTTCCCCCCTGGGATAATGATATACTGTGTTTGTCAGCCAAACGATACTCTGGGTGTTTCTCAATGTCAAGGAAGGATGCTCCAGAGCCACTATTTCAAGGATGCTACGTCATCGAGTCCCGCCGAAGGACTGTTCCAATGTCCAGGCTCCTTGGAATTCTACCGAGCCCGGCGTCCTTCGTAGCGAGAAATTTCGAGGCTGCACATGTGTGGTCTTAAAATCCCCACAATGCTTTGCGCACGGACCAATTTCCAAATCTTTGGTGGAAATCGCACTCCATTTAAGGCGGGGCCTCGCATATGACGCACACCTGCACACCTAGCCCGTTCCACCATTCTTCGTTTTGCAAGGCTAGGAAGGATTCTTGCCTCGCTTCTGAAGGAAGTGACCTACCAAGGAAGCGTCCTCGACATTGAGAAACACCCACTGGCTCTAGATGTAATGTTACCTGAAGGCCACCGTAGTTCTTGAGTTGTAAAACTGACTGTTTGATTCCACAGCGCCAAAGGAAGAGGAAAGGGGGGCAAGGGCCGGCTGAGGTAGACGCAAACACCAGCAGCTCTCCAAGGAAGCGTCGGAAAATAAGCAGCAGTATTCACTTTGATGACAATGATGTACGCTTAAACAAAGAATGTGTGCTTTTGAGCTTAACAGTTAACTATCTTACCAATCCCCACACTTGTCAGTTAAATAAAGCAATTTAAACAAAATCTTTGCAATTTAAATATCTCCATTTATTCTGCGAACATACACAAAGAATCACAGTGCACCATACATTTCACACGTAGGCAGATATGTAAACATAATGACAGGACTTACCGCAGCAAGCAGTGCTCGACATTATCGTTTTTAAATAACACATTAATAAATAAAAGCTTCTGGTGGCAAAATAGTGACAGGCTTTCTATACAAGTACAGTGTCGGGACAACAGTGCAGAAAATAAAGTGATGCAGTCTGTACACAGGCAGGACTAACATCTAGTGAACTGATCCCTGCTGATTACATTATGACTTGAGGTTTCATGGTTTCTGACAGCTACTCCTATATGAAACTGTTACAGATGGGGAGATAAATGTTTTACTTTTCTTATATAACCTAGAACTGGAAAGGTTACCTTAGTGCAATGCTATAGTGGAGGCAACAAACTGAAAGTACCTTTGCTTCACTCTATCCTCCAAGAACCGTGGGTGGCAACTGCAGTAACTAACAGAAGCAGCACATATTCTAGACAACACTGAGCATTTTAAATAAAAGATTAACTTACATTTCTTTCAGGTGGCTTGTAAGCCAAGGAGCCCTACTTTGAGCAGGGATCAGAACAGTGCATTATCATGGTTGCTAATCCAAACTTCATGTTCAGACACGATGAGGAGAAACCAGGTTCAGCTGCCTCGGTGGGTTCACTCTTCACCACAGATGTGTTTCCCTGATCTCAGCAATCACCTGGCTGGCTTTTTGCAATGCCTGTGGACAAAGTAAATACAATGAAATGACTGATAAAGGAACCACTATTATCATGAAAAACCTGACACCATGGAGGGTACGGAGAGTGTATATTACCTGTAGCATGTCGGCAGCTTCCTTGCGCCGCTGAGCCATGTCCTCTGACTCAGTGAGCAGCTCGTTGAGGAGGCCCAATTTATACAGCTGGCCTACCAGCTCGCTCTGGAGGCTGTCCTTCACATGGTTCACCAGGAAGTGCATCACTGCTTTGGGCACACTGCGAGGGAGAAACGGAGCCAACAGATGGTTGACAACCAGGAGGCAAGAAGGCCGGCTGATTGTGTTCTCCCCCAGATGGATGGGGGGGGAGCCGAGGTCTGACCCTACAGGTGGCTGGGCCTGTCTAAGTACAAGCTATAAAATGCATGCATTACAAGTAGCTCTAGTGTGGGGGCTACACTCCGAGAAAATGGCTAATAAAAATAAATGTTGTAGGATATAAAAAGAGAATCCAAAGCAACATGTAGGTAGTGAACCAATTCTTGTTTTTCAGACATGGTTAGTTATTAGTTTTTTATATGATGGCTTCAAAGCTACAACTACAACCAATATGAAGAAAAGGAAATAGTTAACATTTTATATTTTTCCAATTGTAAATTACGGTATTTTGTTTATGGTGCTAACCTCTTCAAATATTACGACAGAGACTCAAAGTTTACCTTCAAAAACCATCAAACTTTTGAATATTAAGAATTGAGTACAGCCCTACTAGTTTAATCCGTTAACCACTGGTGTTGGTGTTATTAATAGAAACCAATCCCCAGACTTCTGAGGAGCGATCTGGCCTACCTGTCCTGGATATTCTTGCGAACGATGAGGAAGTAAGACTTGATGAGGCGTTCGATGACCTCACAGTCCCGCTGCTCACGTGACGACAGCTTCCTGGCAGCTGGCACAGGCTGTGGGGGGGGGCGGGGAGACGGTGTTTTCAGTAATGTTACCTGCAAAATATCTTTCATCGTGAGACATGCTGATAGGGTTGTGTTTAGTTACCACATCCAGCAGGTTGACAGCTCCTCTAAGGGGGCTTCCGGGTCCGGAGCTGGGGGCTTCGTCTCCTTTCTTCAGCATCCCCCTCCAGTTCCCTGTGCCGTCCTGCTCCCCCTGGGGCCCAGCTGACGGGGCCTGAGGAGCAAAACAAAAAAAAACATAAGAACAACAGACATCACCTCACCCACCCAGGCCACCAACTTATGGTATGTAGCATAATGACAGGTTCATATGCAATAATGCAAACACAGGGCAAACAGGCACAAACGATTATAAGCTCTCGAGACTGAGCAGAGTACAGCCAGTAATTGTCATCATTCTTCACAATGCTGCGCTGAGCAGAAATGCTAACATTAGCATACTCATATTCTCACGACAACACTCGAAGGCTAGTGTAATGCCAAGGTACATCAACTATCTTGGTTTAGCGTTTCAAGCTAATGTTAGCCAATTAGCATTGAATACAAAGTAGCTAAGGCATCAGAGAGGCTAAAAGTTTTACATGTAAATGACGGTATATCAAAAGTTAAGGGGTTTTAATTAGAGTTATTACAATTCATCCTGAGGGAAGAAATGCATGGCAGTCTCTTCAGTTGTTGAGACATTTAAAAAAAAAAAAGAAGCTAACTTTATGCTCTTGCAAGAGGGAAAATCAGAGGTTCACCAAGGCAAGTGGGTTTTGTCCTACTTGGCCACCATGAATGAGAAACATTTCATGGCAATCTATTTAATGAATAGCCGTGGAGATATTTCAGTCTGGAACAAAGCGCAGACTGATATTGCCATCCCTCTAATGAGCATCATTTAGAAGAGAGACTCCTGACCTGTTTTGGCATCGTGGCTGGTGTTCTCCCATTGCAACATGCTCTCTAGTTAAACCTAATAATCATTTGAGAGAAAGTGTCATAATTGGAATCTAAATGATTGGGTTATGGCCCAAAATGTGTTTTGTGAGGTCGGTAGATGTTTGTGTCAATAATGAAGAGAAAATCCCTGCAGGCGTTTTGCGAGTACATGAGAAAGGGATGGACGAACAACACCTAAACACAACGCCTCCGGGCGCAGCAGAGGAGGAGATTAAAGGTTAAGAGGAGGAAACAAAAGGAGAGGAAGGCATTTTCTGTCAGACAGGTGGAGCAGCTTTGGGGACACACACTCTGCAGGAACACAGCGGTGGTTAGAGCACACAGGCTGAGGGGGGGGGGGCAACACAGCACACAGAGCAGAGTGCATGCCAGCAGCAGCCCATGCTCATCCATCCATCCATGCTCCACCAGCGAGCTGCGCCCACCTTGGCCCCCTCCATGTCTGCTCCACCCGCAGGAGGCTCGCCAGCCGGGCCCCTGCCAGCAGACTAGCAGGAAGAAGAGAGCAGGAGAGGAGAGAGAGAGGAAAGAAGCGATGAGGAGAAGTGGAGAGAGGAGAGGAGGCTGGCAGTGGAAAGCCTCTCTGAGGGAGATGTGGGATGAAAAAGCTCAGTGGAAACTATCTGAGGCATCGGGATCACAGGTCCTCATCCTGTGATTAACACCGCACTAGTCCCATTTAACTCAAGTATTAGATCAGCTGAGCTGCTGATAATAAAATAAGGATGTTTCTTTTACCTTGTCCCTGGGCACTGCAGAGGGCAGCTCTCTCATCCTGTTTCTCCTTTCCTCCTAAAAAGCACATGTTGCAAATTATTATTATAATTAGGTCATCCTAAATCTTAAAGAAAAGTTCTTCTGATTATAATGCTCCTTCCAAAAAATATATTTGTGTGTACCCATCGGCTATTTTTAAACCTTTGATGTTTGTCTATGATTCCCTAAGTATCCACAATGACCTTCAATAACCTTTCCCACAGTCCTTTGGAGGAAAAGAAAGGCCTGTCAGAATTCAACTCTGAAATGTACATTTGAATTTAGAGAAATGTAGAAACCAAATTATAATATGAAATATTCTAATTGAAACAATTTGTACTAAGGAATTTAAATCAATATAACGTTTGAATTCTCAAAGTATATTTTGCTGACTTTTTTAATTTGGTAAATGTTTTATTAATGAATGACTACAAGCTACTTTAATTCTACTGACTACCTTTTTAACATTGTCTGTAACATTTTCAAAATAGTTGAAATCAGGTTTTCAGAAACGGAAAAGGCAGAAGGTCAACTTTTTTGCTATAATTGTAGTTGGATTTGTTTCTTTTGCTTACATGCAAACAGATTAAATGACATCTATTGCTTTTTAAATATACCTACAAATATTGACATATAACTCAAGGCCTAAAAATAACACCATGTTCCACCTCTCCTCTCCTCTTCATTAAGAAAAAAGATGGTGTATGTTGGAGGGTTTAGTTGAGAACCCACCTCTATGTTATTGTTCATGATCCCACAGGCGTCTGCAAAGTCTGGGTGTTTGGTGTTGATGTAGGCCAGCTCTATGGCCACCAGGTTATGAACCTGAGAGAGAAGAGAGGAAACGTCAGGAGTTACTCAGCGTCTCATGAAACTCTGCAGCTGACAGAAAGATGAAGGTGATGCTACCATGTCGTTGGTGACGGGCAGCCTCTTCCTCAGGAGGGAGGTGACGACTTCCACTATGGCCTCGTGCAGCTTCGGGAACCTCTGCAGCTCCTGGAGGACGAGACATGGTGAGTGTGTGTGTGTGTGTGTGTGTGTGTGTGTGTGTGTGTGTGTGTGTGTGTGTGTGTGTGTGTGTGTGTGTGTGTGTGTGTGTGTGTGTGTGTGAGAGCTGCTGACCTGGGTGCTGTAGTTGCTGCAGTGCTGGATGATCCTCTGCATCTCCTCGTGGACCAGCTCCACGCAGCGCAGGCTGGGCTCCTCCAGACGCTTCACCTGCTTCTTCACCAGCAGCTCGAAAGAGATCTCCGGCACAAACAGGGATGGACGCGGGCCCTGGGGAAGGAGGGGGGGGGGCTCAGGGGCTCAGGTTAGCAATAGTTAGATATATGGGGCATAATAAATTACTTCTCCTTTCTAGCTGAGGACTTTTAATTGAACTATATCTTACACTGCAGTGTAACTTTTATTCATGTATTTTATACCTGTGTTTTTCTATATTGGCTTTTTTCATGTATATTTTATGCTCCTTGCTTTTTAATGACTGTTTTTAAATCCCATTCTATAATGAGATTCTGCTGCACTATTTCTTAATGCTCTTAATGTTTTCATTTTTCTAAAGCACTTCGAATTGAATTGTGTTGAAAGCCATAT